GAGAAAGTGGGGTACGGCAACAAAAAGGGAGCAGCCGCTTGCTTGGTGACGTTAGTTTGGAAAAGTGGTGAAGGTGGCCAAGGGGAAGAGTTTTCTTGCCTTTTTTTTTCCGCTAGGACCGAAGCTTCTTCTCACGTCACACCCTTTGGGATTATTGCTCTGTTTTCTGTCCAGATGTTGCCTCTTTCAGCTAAACTAATTTTGCTTTCTGATGATAACAGAGATTGGAAGCAAAGTCACCAGGTTTTCTGTAAAATCTATTCTCTTTTCTGCCCCTCTGACAACCTGGTAAAGCCCCTGAAACAGCTGGGAACACTGGAATTGGGCTGATGTCCCTTGCTTTCAACCTTGACGGGTGCAGTGGTTACAGCAGAATAGAATTCTGACATAAGGATACTTTTTAGGTGGCTTCCTCATCTTCTGGAGGTTCCCTGGAACTTCCTTATCTGGTCACCGAGCCATCTGACCACAATGTGTGCTGTGTAGCTGCCTGAGACCTGTTGCTCTGTTCTTATTTTACCATCATAAGGGTGTGTTTGTAGGCAATTATCTCGGTGAATGCACATAAAGACAGGACAATGTGTGTTAACACCGATGTGTTTGAGTTGCTGTGGTTCTCATTGTACTTTTGGATGCAGTGGAAGAGAGTAGTGGATAAAGGTGGGATTATTTGTGCATAGATGTTTGAAGTTGGTTCAGTTTTGCATGTGTTACAAGTTATCCAGCTGGCAAGTGGGATGGTGTCTGTCTCTGACAAGAATATAATCATAGATGTCAACGTAAATCAATTCCTGGCAGATGTTCTTAGGGCAGCACTGCTAGTTGATAGCAGAGTTTGACTATTTAGACCTTTATTAATGAAGCTGAACTATTTATGTAGTAGATAAGGTATAGTAGACACTTCCCAGGGAAAGATGCAAAGAACTCTTTGCAACTGGAAGTGAAATGAGAAGTGACTGGTATTTGCACTAATTAAACCCTTTTTGCTGTTGGCTCAGGACTTTGAGTTGTACATGCTGATGCAGATCTCCTGCTGATGTGATATCCAGATACTGTAAATAGCTTCAGGTAATCTGGGCACACATTGTTCTTACGTGGCTGGCAGGTGGCAGGAGGGTGGGTGATTGCTGGGGAATCCCTTCCTGCTTGCAGGATACCCCACCAGTGGGATGGAGATGGTCAAACACCGCTGCAGGCTTAATAGCAGCAGGAGACCAGAACTTCGTACAAGGTGCCTGAGGAAGGGCAGGAGGGCAGTCACGCTCAGGGCTGCAGTTTAAATCATCGTGGTGTTTTTGCGGACTGATTCTTGCCACTGTTACGTACAGCAGATGTTCCCCTTGTGAGCCAGGGAGATTTCAGTAGGGTCTTTCTGAAGATTTCCCGTAAAGTAAAGAAAGGACTCTTGTGAAATTAGACACTAGTCTTGCTTACAGAGCCTTGCCATTTGGTGACGTGGTCCTACACCTGCCTGTCATCCGTGGCGTGTGTTACCACATGGGGCTCATATGGTGGCTTTGAGTCTGAACAGATTCTGATTTGAAAAAAGACCCCGAATTCAAAATGAAAGCAGAGTGTTGCATTTTCATATTCTGTAGTGGCAGACTTCCTCCTAATACCTTGCGTGGGCATACCCGGGGGGTCAGTGGGAGGTCTAGACCGTGGGAGGGTGGTCTGTGACCTCAACGTGCTGACAGTCTCGTGCTGTCCCTGGCCTGGTGATGGTTCTGTTGGCCCAAAGCTTCCTGTGCGATGGCTGCTGTTTGACCAAAGAGCTGGCACAGGGTGACTGCTCTCCCGGCGGGGTGATTTCTGAACAAGCTGACTCGGGGGCTGCACTGATGTTGGCGTGGCCGGGCAATCAGTGCGAGCCTGTTGTGGTAGCTGTATCCACTTCTCATTTTGCTCAGAGATCCTGGCTTGGCTGTTCGCGCTGGCGTTTGAGGGATATTTTAGTAGCTAAATTACTAATTCTGAGGGAGCTGTCTCGACTTGAAACTATCATTAATGCAAACAGCATGTAAAATGCCAGTTGGAGGCTACTTGTGGGAGTAAGACTGGCTGTACCCTGCTTACTATGCATGATTATATTAAAGACAGTGTAATGATATTTTAACCCTTGTCCCCAGAAATTAAGTGATAAGACCTACCCATGTGAACCAGGACAGTCTAGTAAAAATTTTGGATTTTTTTCCTGTATACTCTGGCTCCTTTATAGCTGTTTGTGCTTCAGACTATCAGGTAAATCTGTTTTTCATAAAAGCTTTTATAACCTACACTTGGATTGATGTTCACGTGTGTGTTTTGTTTTTTTTCAGCAGGGTTTCACAGAGTATTTTATTGCATAGCACCGGTGAGACCAAGCCTGGTAGTGGTTCTTATCTCTAATGCTGTTCCAAACCCAGTTTTCTTTGACCCTGAACTCTGTTATGTAATTGTAAGCAATAAATCTGAAGGATCTAGTCCTAATGGGCATGAATAGCACTATTTGATATAACTAAATAAATCCAAAACTTTACTGCCAACTTTAAGGTCATATCCAAGTCTGAGAAGAAGCATATTGGTGCACAAAGTTGTTCTGTCACTGAGTGATGGGGATTTTTATTTTATTTTTCCAGAGATTCTTGTTAGTTCTGCTTTCAGCACTTTTTTTTTTTAAACCTTTTCTGGGCCTCATGTTCAAAGTGTCTACTCCTCTACTTTCTTCTTTCCTAAAACTGACAGGTGACACCAGTGACTCCTTGCACTGTGAGGTGATGCCAAAGCCTCACTACACACTTCCCTTTCTCTCACAGCCTGAGGTATCTCTGCCCAGGCTGTCTGGGGCTTTATGCTGGTTTTCCACTTGGTCACCTAGAAGCAAGGAAATGGTTAATGTAAGTGAGAAGCTGCTCTTGAGAACTGTTGCTTGTATACCAGCATATTCTTATTTAGAAAGAAGAAAAAAATGAAATGGAAAATTTCACTCTTTCTTACTCTTCAAAATTCTTCAGAAGCCTATTTTCCGACTTGATCCTACTTACACTCTTCTTCAAAGGATCAAAACTGCTGGAAATGTTCATCAAAAAATTGTATGGGCCCACATTAAAAGCTTTGTTTTAATATACAGCCTGCTTTGCAGTGCAATTAGGTCATTTTGCCACAGTCCTGGGAAGAGGCTGATCTCTGAAAGGCACAAAACAAAGTGTGACCTCATGAAGCAAACATCTGAGCCCCAAAGCTGCTTTCTTTCTCCTGGCTGTAACAGGCAATATAATAAAAGATATCTAAGCAAAATACCCTTACTTGCATTATAGTATCAAGAAAACTGCTTTTAAATTATTTTAACATTACAGCTTGATGAGTGGTTCGTAGCATAAATACATGTTTTACCATCTAATCAATCCTTGGACGTGACCTTCCTTTGGTTTTGCACTTCAACTCAAAATTCAAAAATCATTACCGCACCCACTTGCCATAGTCAACTCAAAATATTTTCTTGTTCAAAGAGGCTGCGAGAAGACAAGCTTGGCTATTTTTTTCACTTACGCCTTTTGAAAGCAGTTCTACAAGTAGTTAAGAAATAGTCTGGATGGTTATGATGTAGTGCTTTATTGCGACATCTAAATTGGCTGTACAACCTGCCGAAGGTAGTGCCTGATTGTCACAGCAACAGCTTCTCCATCAGAATTTCAAGTTTTATTAGCGCTTTATAGACATAATATTTCATCTTATTTCAGGGAAAGAATGTACCCAGGATGAAAGCACAGCTGCAGCTATCTTTGCTGTTCAACTGGATGACTATTTAGGAGGAAAGCCTGTGCAGAGTAGAGAAATTCAAGGATATGAGTCTACGGAGTTTGTGGGCTACTTCAAAGGAGGAATTAAATACAAGGTAAAGAACCATCTGTCAAAAAAGTATTTAAAAATGTATGTGACGTTGTTGCCCCAAGTAAAATAACGTATTTTTGCTTTGTAAATGGCAAGTTTAGAAACTTTTTCTTAATGTTTAGTGGTTCTAGACCCAAACTCTCTGTTGTACGCTATGAGTCCCAGTACTTGTACAGTTTGTTTACCAGTGCCTCTTCTGATATGTGCAAACCTTTCCCACCCCCAAAATCAAACTCTCCTGAGATTTCATACTTGTGTGTCTAGGCACTCTCTGTGTTTGGGAGGTAGTAAATCTCACAGAAACCTTTTCTATGTTGTCAACTGAATCATTTGGTTGAAATGCAGAACTCAGTGTGCTTAAGTGGTTAGAAACATGAACAGAGTGGGAAAGACCAAAACCTCATTTTAACTAAAAATGGCACTTTTGCAGTCCTACCACAGACTTTTTTTTGTCTTTCAGGTAGATAAAAAAACTCCCACATACTTATAATGAAATTTTAAAAAGCTGTAGCATCAGCCTCCTTGTGTTGCTCCCAGAAGCTGAATATTTGGAAGGATTTTTTTTTTTTCTGGATGACATCTGTGTCTCCCCATAGTAGGACTGTGCCATCAATCTTTTTCTTTTATGAAGGTTTGTAACTTGCCACAAGCTATATAACCAATTTGAAGGTTTTAGCTCTGCTTGCATAAGTGCTTGGCAGTGATCTGACCATTCTTTTACATATTTTTTTTTCTTTGAATATTCAAGAGCCGGTTTCTAGTCCAACGCAAGAGTTCAGTCTCCTAGAAGAATGGAGAATACTGTCTCACAGAAGCAGCCAGCTGAGCCACTTTACAGCAATAAGTTATGCTCAAAATTCTACTCCACGGATTGTAAATCAACAGTTTGGTCTCACTTGTCCCAGTTTGGTGCTCCTTGCTGGGTTGCCTCCTAAGTTGTGAATATTCCTTTCAGAAAATGACAGAGCTGCTCTGCACATCACCAGGCGCCAAACCCACCCAGAGCTTTCAGATTTAAGGAAGCTGGGAAAATTTACACAGGAGCTGCATATTGCTCTGCTTTTCCTCCGTCCTTATTTGACAACTGACTGATTTCTGTCCTAACAGTGCGGTTCAGTATTACCTCACCCTTTGGATGATGCATGAGAGTGCTGTAAATCCTGTGCTTTCCCCATTCAGCTGAAAACCCTTCAAAGCAGGGTGATGTCCACTCCCTCAGATAAAGTTTTACACCCGAGAGTTCGGCAGCAATATTCCCCATGTTTGTCTGGTCTGTGCTCAGCACTGTTAAACAGTTTATTTTAGCTCGCCTCTCACTGCGTAACTTGTGGTTTTCCCCCCTGCTGGCTTCTCATATGTAGCAGAAAGGTAAGTCTGCAGAAATCAAGGTGAAATAAAGCTTTGTTTTCATTCAGGCAGGTGGTGTTGCCTCTGGATTTAATCACGTTGTAACTAATGACCTGAGTGCCCAGAGGCTTCTGCATATCAAAGGACGGAGAGTTGTAAGAGCCACAGAAGTTCCCCTGGCTTGGACCAGCTTCAACAAAGGAGATTGTTTCATTATTGACCTCGGAACTGTAAGTCTCTCCTAGAGCAAAACATGCTGAAAAGTAAGCAGTGCAGCATCCCTTTTAAGGTTTCAGTCATCCCCTAAAATGCACAACTAGTTTTGTCACTACCCAAACTGACAGAAAGAACCTGCTTTAGAAAATTACCTTTAGTGTCGCAACACTTTGAAGGTTCAGAACTGCCCTTGACATTGTAAAACTTTGATTGTGACAAGTCGCCCTAAAGAAACAGCTGTAAAAACGTTGTCGTAATAAACTTGTCGTACAATAAGTCACAAAACTACTTGAGTATTTCAAGAGATCCCTTGAGAAGCAATCCCATACTTCAAGGCTTTCTGCTGGAAGCAAGTAGAGAGACTTGGTGCAGGAGCATAATTTTTTCTTGATTCAGATGGCTTATAGCATGGTCACCTTAGTATCAAAAAGTCTCAAAATGAATTTTAAAAGTAGCAGCTAGGATGTAGCCCACAGTAGTTAGATGCTAGTTATCAGTTTGAAATTATTCCCATGCTTGATGTGCTGACGTGTGTGAAAGAAAATAGTTTTATCTGCAAGGAAGCATCTGCACTTGGTCTTAACTGTAGTGCTTCACGAGGAAGTGGTGAGCTACTTCAGCGAGATTTCAGAGAACAGTTCCCAAACCTATTGAAAACTGCACTCAGGTGATGGGTTTGGCCGTTTCTTCTGAAAAGCAGTCCCTGGTGCGATAAGTGAAGATATTGGTATCAAGTAGCTGTACTCATTGTGCCCAGTAGAGTTTTATTTGCGTTGACAGCTTTCTGATAGAACAACGACGAGTGTTTTCCTAACGTCCCATTCCTCCTATGCCACTGTGGTCTAACCAGATGAAACAGCCAGCTGAGTGGTAGCCAAACAGCTGGCCCTTGATGTCACTTTGCATTAAGGCTGCACAGAAGACTCAAATCTATTCAGAGTTAACCTGTGGGAGACAGAGAAGTTGGAACCAACATTGATAGAAAATGTCACTTCTGCGGTCGGGCTGTGACAGGGCTTAAGTTGTTGGTTTGGAGTTGACCTCCCATGGACACCCTGTGGAACCCTGAATTTGATTTGTCCTGACTCTTATTGTGCCACAGTTACCTGGTTCACCTAAAATAATTACTTGAGTCACACTCCAGACATGGCAATGACACCGATGGGGATATAGTGGTGTGACATCTATAGCTTGGGGTTCATCCCTTTTGATGACATTTGTTGAGGGGAGAGCACGTCACTAGGCAATGTAAATGTAATATGGCTTGAGACTCTTGATTTCTAATACTGAACGTACATTATGAGGCTTTTTAAATTTTTTTTTTAGTGTAATGTCAGTCTGCTTTCTGTTTGACAAGAGGTCAAGCAGCAGTGCAACCCTGCACCTTTGTAGGAAAAAGGATTCAATGTGAACAGTATTTAGATCTTTACCACGCTAGGGAAGATGTCAGTCAAACTGCATGACTAAGAACAACTCGTGATCTTGCCATGGCAGTAGGATGAAGGATGGGTTTTCCTGAATGTTTTAAGTTAAGGAAAAAAGTGTTTCCACGTACAGAAATTCATAGTAATTTTATCATAGGTTGATGTGTACAATAGAGCTTTCTTGAGGGAGATGAAAAGGCAATGCGTGACATACTTTAAGATGGAGATAGGTAAGTCTAGTGAATTACCTCTAGAGAAATAGGTGTGGTAAGAAAGACACTGTCACAGTGGAAATCTTGAGCAAATTTTAAAAGAGCCGTATTTCAAGCTGCAATAACCGTATTTGAACTTTTCCATGCCTAGTGGTCCATTGTAAATGGGTGTCTTTACAGGAACGCTTAATTGAATTTAAGGCTTCCATTAGAGAAAAAGAAGGAAAGAAAAAAGTAATATTTTTGGCTCAAGTAGATTCCTTTACTTAATAATTGAAATAAAATTAATCTTTAATAGGGATGCTCTTGAGTCTTGGGTTTTATTGCAGGGCACTATTGAATCATTGTCTGTGAATAATGGGTAGTGATTGCATAAAATAATGAGCTTATGGTCAGTGCTTTTAATATCAAATTATTGTAGTATGTCAAATAAGATAAATTTCCAAGACTTACTTTCCCAAGTCTCTTAGCTAACCAGAAAGATGGTCTCTGTGGTGCTGCAAAGCTGCTTGTGCAGTCTGTTTCCTGTTACATTTTATCGAGCCACTTACATGAGATAATGAAAATCATTTCAGTTTTCCCATTGAGCTTAATTACTGCAGTATTTTAGACCTATGGTTTGAGCAGATAAGGAAAAATTAAGAAAGGTTAATAATGACCAGGGATAAAATCATTACTGGGCGCTAAGGTTTCCCTCCTGGTGATAGTGCCTTAGGTAGGAAGTGTTTGTGTGCATTCCCAGTTACCTTCACGCATTTACAGTTCACTTTCTGATGGTTACCTTATAACTTCATCTGTTACTCAGCCACGTTTACAACACTTCAAATACCCTGCCCAGGTCGTATCTTGCCGGCTTTGAACTCTCTAGGCTGGGGCAGAAAACAGCTGCAGAAGGCAGAGAAAACCTGTCTGATACGAGGGGAGTCGTAGCTGTGGGTAATGCATAAAGACCTTTTTATTCAGTCTTCTGTAAGGCCATGACACGAGCATTGGGATCACCACAACGATGTTGTGGTGATCCAGAAGGGTGTCTAGGGTGCCAGATCCCGATTTTTGTTCTTTATTTTTTGATCTCTTTTTCTCAGCAAGGGATTTCCATGCCACCTCCGACGATGAACCCGAGAATCTCCCTGTAAAGGAGCCTTTGGGACAGGGCAGGCAAGACAAGTGCAGGGCAGTTGCTGCGAAGACTTTGTGCAGACCTGGAGTAAAGTGCGCTCTCCTGGGTGCTGCTTGGTGTATCCTCTCCTGGCAGAGCTCTGCTCAAGCCCTCCCAGAAGCCCTGCTCTCCTGCCATCCTGTCCTTCTGGCTGGAGGGTGCTGAGCTTTTCTTGGTGTCCCGCCTGAGAGGCAGCAGGGCAGGTTTACCTGTTCTTGGTGGCCGTAAACTGCCTTTGCTCGGTCGTGTCCCCTTTACTCCCTGATGCAACCCTCCCTGCATTGCCCCATCCTCCAGCCATTCCCCTTAGCCACATCCCCCTTTCTTTCTCCGTCACCAAGAATAATTCAAAACAGGAAGGAGCATGAGGGGGTGTGGAAAATGACCGTGGAAGAGAAGGAAAAAGATTAATCATTGTGCCATTCAGCAAATAACATACACATTGTGTCCTAGGCTATTTTAGTATTATCTAGGTGTGTGTGTTAATATTGTTCATATGTGTCTACTTCTGATATGCTGAAGACTTCCATCCCTTTTGTCTGTTTTCTTACCAGTATTGTAAAATACACCCTGTGTTCATGGGTGATGTACCAAATGTCACCCAAATGTTGATGTGTTCCTGATTTGGGTTGTTACCAAAGCATGGAGCAGAGGTAAAGGGAGTAGCAGTACAGTAAAGCACCATGAAGTGATCAGCTGATTTTATTAAAAGCTTCTCAACACAGTTTAGGAAGCTCTGCTATATGAAGGCTGTCTAAAGTTGTGTTCTTAGCCATCAAGAGGGCTCCTGGGAGAAATTAGGAGGCAGTTGTTAAAATAAGGGAGGTGATAAGTATCAAGCGGTTCTGAGCTTGAGCCTGATTGAGACTGGAAAGTTTTGTCAGCGCAATCAAAGTTCTAATGGTGAAAAGTTACCCTTTTTCCCAAAGGAAGAATGCAGACAGTGAGGTGATAACTTGCAAGTGAAGACTGAAGATAAACTGAACTCGGTTGTCCATTCTTCCCTTTCCTATAATGGTGCTTATAAACTGGTTTATAAACAGCTAAAGGGTTGCTGGTTTGAATTTTAAGAGCCTGTGGTGGGCTTAAAACCAATTTATTTTGCCATCCAGCAATCAATGTACGTATTTCTCTGGAGCTCTGTGAATCACAAGTGAAAATTATGATGTTGGAACTCAGAAGTAGGAGACCGAATAAAGCTGTTGTGACCATATGTCTGTCAGTGTGCTCCTACGTGAGCTCCTGACATTATAGGTATGTCAAAAGGAAAAAGATTGCTGTCTTGCACAAAGACACTAGAAAAAAATACGGCAAAGAAAGAGGCTGGCTTTTTTCATAAAAACTCTTGATTTGCTATAGATTAAATTATGTTTGCAAAAAGAAAATTAACTTCTGCTTTTTAACAGTAAAAGACCAAGAGGACAGATATTTGCTTTATGATTATGACTAGGGGTTATGATTCAGCATCACATTGTAACCTTAGGCACAATTTTATTATTTATTTTTTTTTGCTTGCTTCTGTAATCTCTCTTCCGTCTTGCCTGTGCTTTCTCTTCTGGGTAGCTTTCCTTCTCGTTCTTTAGATAAGATAGTCAATCAGCATATTAATTGCTTTAATAAGTCACTGTTTGGGTATAAACAGGGCTGGAAGAGCAGATTCTTTTAATCTGGAGTTCATTGCTATAGGTTTCTTTTTAGTTGCTTTCCCTGGCACTGACAACTGACTAGCCGTGTCCTTTTCCCCTGTTTTTCATTCATATGTTTTTCCTACAACTAACCCTTTCCCCAGTTTCTCTGAGCTGAGAGTTAAAGTATTGCCCCTGCTGGAGCAGGGAGTTGCCAAACAAGTAGCGGAGCTTGGAGAACTAAACTGCTTTTGGTTTTTATTAACTTTATGGACTTGTTAACAGCTTTAAAATGGGGTTATGTCTATGCCTTGTGTATCTTAGTAAGCAAGCTTCTCATCATTCTGTAAATTTGTGAACCAGTTATTTTTACAGCTCTGTAGTGTAAACTCCAGCATTCTGGAAATTGGTGCTGTCCCAAAGTCATCAGATGGAGAGAAATAAATAGTTTTTCCCCACTTCAGTTAGAGTGTTCTTGCACCCTCGGCCCCACTTATGTGCAGAGAAGTGGCTGAAACAGTCCATCCCTAAGGTTTTGGGTGGGCAGGATATATGTATAGGACTAGGATTCAGTTAAGTTCGTTTTCTTCCTGA